CCACCTTGGCCCAAAGATGATACAGACTGAAATTATGCATTCACACATGGAGAAGTAGCACCACATAATGGTTAAGAGTGTATTTCTTGGCCAGACCATCTGGGTTCAAGTTCCTATTTCCCTACATGTTCACCCCTCACTAGTGACCAGTCTCCTCGTGTGCACAGTGGCATAATAAGTACGTCTAATGTGTTGTGGGGGTTAAAGGAGCGAAGCATTTAAAGAGCACCTGGAACAACAGGCAGAGCTTCATGAAATGTGTGCTCGGAGTTCAGTTCAGTGTCTGAGTTCTTTCCGTGCCAGCTGTTTCTATTTGGTGGCCTTGTGACAAGCAGGAAACGGATGCTGGTATTTCTCTACTTCTTCCTTGCTTTGAATATTTCCTCTCCCAATCATAATCGATATAGCTCCTTTGAAAAATGCATGAAAGCCCTATATAACTCCACTAGCTAACTTCTTGTAAGGGTTATATCTACTCCCTGACTCTGTTTCCTCTCTCTTCACCCTCCTCCAACCTCCTGGCCCCATCTGTCTACAGCTCCAACCAAGGGCACCACAACCTCCCAAAGCCAAGGGACAGAGAAAACTCCCTAGCACGAAGCTCATGCAAGCCCACCACTTAAAAAATTACCGGTAAGCCAAGGATGCAAACATTTAGACTGTGAGATCTCTTACTGAACCCTAGACACACACATCCACCAGACACTGTCCTCTTTGGTACTTCAAGATCATCTCCAACTCGCAATGTCTAAAAGAAAATGGGGGGCAGGGAAACCCAACCATGATCTTTCCCCGACGCCTTGTCTTCTGCTGCTAGTATCCCCATGGCAATTAGGAGTCATGAGCATCTTTCGCATCAGTATAAACCTGCAGCTTTGAAATTTTTCTGGACCCATCTCTCCCCTTCTTCCTGATAATTTTACCCGCAAAATAAATCTCTCTTAAACATGTCTACGTCATTCTACCTACAAAGCCCACAGCTGAGATGCAGTAACATCCGGTTTACAACAATACCAACTCTCATCTGTCTATTGTGAGAGCCGCCCAAGAGGCTCCACGATGTCACTCTTGCCCTCTTTAGAGATGTTGCTCACATTCAGAAGGACGTTTTTACATGGAAAGTTAGACTGTCATTCCAGTGTTTAAAGACCTTGAACACAATCTATACTTCTTCCATATTTGAGCTCTAGTCCTCACCCCCCAGCCCTCCACAGCCTTTTCTGCAATTGTGCTCTTCTCGTGATAGCTTCTGCCATCTCATCATCCTCAGTTCAGTTTTTTATCTTCACCCCAGGGCCTTTGCATCTGCTGTTCCATGGAACAAATCTCACTCTACTTTTCTTTCTTTCTTTTTTTTAATCGTTTTATTAGGGGCTTATACAACTCTTATCACAATCCATACACACATCAATTGTGTAAAGCACATTTGTGCATTAATTGCCCTCGTCATTCTCAAAACATTTGCTCTCCACTTAAGCCCCCAGCATCAGGTCCTCATTCCACCCCCTCCCCCCACCCTGCTCCCCCCTCCCTCATGAGTCCTTGATAATTTATAAATTGTTTATTTTGTCATATCCTGCCCTGTCCGACGTCTCCCTTCACCCACTTTTCTGTTGTCCATCCCCCAGGGAGGAGGTCACATATAGATCCTTGTAATCGGTTCCCCCTTTCCAACCCACCCTCCCTCTACCCTCCCAGTATCATCACTGACACCACTGGTCCTGAAGGGATCATCTGCCCTGGATTCCCTGTGTTTCCAGTTCCTATCTGTACCAGTGTACATCCTCTGGTCTAGAAAGGCTTGCAAGGTAGAATTCGGATCATGATAGTGGGGGGTGGGGGTGGGGTGGGAGGAAGCATTTAGGAACTAGAGGACATTTGTATTTTTCATCGTTCCTACATAGCACCGTGACTGGCTCATCTCCTCCCCGAGACCCCTCTGCAAGGGGATCTCCAGTGGCCTACTAATGGGCTTTGGGTCTCCACTCTGCACTCCCCCCATCATTCACTATGGTGAGATTTTTTGTTCTGATGATGCCTTACACCTGATCCCTTCGACACCTCGTGATCACACAGGCTGGTGTGCTCGCTCTCCTTTTCTGTAGTGAGCATCCTCCATTCGTGCTTTGTATTTTCACTTCCCCAGTGATCTGAGTTCCTGATCTGAGTTGGCCCAATCACCCGTTATTTAGCTCACAGCACTATACACACTTCCTTTACGGCACTTGTTGCATTTGTATTTACACACTGACTTATGATTCTGATAAATGATGTTTTTGCCATAAAAACAGGGATTGGGGATATAAATGAAATGATGACACATGAATGTCAGGATGATTGAGTGAATGACTAAACCAACAGTCTTTAGAGTGAGGTAGACACATGAACACACAAAAATGCCGAACAACTCCTAAAGGGTGGGGCCCCTTCTACATACTATAAAACCCATGAAAACTCACTGCCATTGATTCGACTCGGCATAGGGTTTCTGAAGTTGTAAATGACTGCCTCATCTTTCTTCCTAGGTGTAGGTGGTGGGCTTGAACCATCAATCTTGTGGTTAGAAGTCCAATGTTTATCAAACAGAGCCGCCAGAGCTCCCTCTCTTCTTCCTTACACATAGACAGGTATCTTCCACCCACCAGTAGACACTTAAATTCTCCCAAAAGCTGGTCATGATATGCTCCTGGCACACAATAGCTTGGAAATATGTCCGTTATTTTTTAAAGCTTTGTAATTGTAGGTAAACATAACGAGTATTACTTTTCATACTTAGCTGAGTTCTCAGGAAAGTAATGAACATTCCAGAGCCAAACCTACCGAGGGATCCTAACACCAGAGCCAAGCCCTTGAACAAGGAGGCAGGTTGCCCATGGGGTAACATAGGATTTGGAATGTGACAGTCAGGGGGTTCAGGAGAGGAGGGCCTCAGAGCTTCAAGGAATGGATGAAGTTGCTGGCACTGAGACTCCCGCATAAAACTGAAACTCCAGGGGGCCTACCACTGTGGCTAAAGAGTAGACCAGGAAAATAGTTTTCCTGGGCACACAAGGAGGCGATAAAAACATGTTTGCCTCAGCCTGGAGTTTGAGGCAGGGGGAGACTCCCCGGAGCGTGGATAGCCACCTGTGCCCCTCATGTCCTTCTGAAATTCAGATGGAACCACTGCCATGTGGTGTGCCCCTCCACATAAAAGTAAAACCAATACACAGTGAATCAAGGCGCTGTGTTTCAAATGGTTTGGCAAGGACACAATCCCTGTCCCTGAATTGTCCATGTAAACATTGTTGACTCAGCAAAAGCTTTGCTGTATCTATTCTTACCACAATTAAACCTTTAGAAATAAAAAGTGGCTCAGCTCAATAATTATCCTGGGGCCCCTAGCAGAAGCACCCTCAATAGTCTCCTGGAAGGGTGCCTGCCCAACTTCGGCTTGCACAAGATTACCACCTATCAAGCAACTGAGAAAAACTCGTCCATCGTCTAAAATTACAAAACCCACAGACCATCAACCATGAGCAAGAATTGTGCTCTAACTTCAAGGCAGTAAAACACAGGGATCAGGGTTCCTCCGGCCTCCTTTCCTCCACAACCATTACTACTACCGGCAAAAATGTCAAATATTAGAACTATTATATTTAAACATCTTAAAATGAAGATGTTTTAAAAGATGAAAGATGTGAGTGGGAATTGACAACATGGAAAAATAAATGTTAAAACTTACTTTGAAAGTCAGATTTCATATCAAACATCTTGAGATTAACAAACATTTATTTCAATTATTCTTAACATTTTAAGCCAAGGGTACAAATTGGCTGATGCCAGCTTGCCCCCCTACTGAGAATTTGCACTCCCACATCAGATAGACAGAATCTGGTCCGTGGGCACATTAATAAGACCCCCTGCAACTTCGTACAGATCTTTTGTATCCAGAAGCATTTGTGAAAAGGATTCAGTGTATCCGGAATGAAAAGGCAAATTCTCAGCAGGGGGTTGGATCAGAACAAACTGTTTAAAGCCATGTTTCAATCCCAACAAATAGATACATGCAGTTTAGACCCAGCTGAACAAAGGAAGAGCAAGCTTCATTTGCTGATGCGCCACTGGTTTTTACAGAGCTAATATTGATATTAGTGATCTCTATTTAGGAACTAGCTGGGGTGAGAGGGAGGGGCAGCAAAAGCTAGTCATCAGGGGTTGAATGGCTCAAAGACAGCTGGAAACTCTATGGGTAAATGCAACAAGTCGATTCGAAGGTTCAGAAGTCAGAGTAATCAAACCGGAGTTGAGGCCCCAGCTGAAGTGGTCATTGGTGAAGAAGAGGTCAATATTTTGCTGGAGGATCAAAGTTGCAGACTCCTGAGATCCTGTACAAGGAGGAGGAGGCAGAAGACCCCGGTCCGTCCTTTACAGATATGCATAGAGATGGCTAATCCGTGGAAGAGAGCAACTCAGGCAAGAGAGGGAGTGAGGGGGACCAGGGAGGTGGAAACAGCGGTGGCTTCAAATAATTTGACAACTGCTTGGCTCCCTTCATGACTGTTTTAAGTACTAAAAAGAAGCCCCAATAACCAATATATCAAATAC